AACAAAAAAAAAAAAAAAAAAAAAAAATGCACAAGAGTTGGATGATATCAGTCCACTCAAAATATGGTCTGCAGAGTGGTACTGGTTCACAAACTGCTTATCACTGGTCCACAATGTGATGAGGAACAGAATTGAGAACCTTCAGAAGTTTTCATGGCAACCTGACATTATCATGTTTAAGATGAGAGCAGCAGACAGGTCCCACCGAATAGAGTATAGTTGGCTACAGGTGTTGTCAAATCAATGTAAGGAACCGCAGACCGAGTTCTAAAAAAGCAAACAGCCCTTCCCCACAGGTGGTTTAAAAGCCCTAATTTAAATTAGGAGCACTCGCTGACTTGGGTTCTATCATAGCACTTACACCTACAGTGGAATGCACGCTCCGATCACGGGAACTATCCCTCCTTTGCTGCCCCCAGCTCAGAGGGGCACCACCATTACTTATGCCTGAGCCAGACTCTTGAATGCCATTTCTCTTCCAGACACCTCCATCCATTAATCACCTAATCTTGTAAAACTCACCTCCTACACATCACGTGTGCCTTTTATCTCTCTCAATCCTAAGAACCTCCACCCTGTAGTCCAAGCCACCACTGCCTCTCCCTGGCCAAGGGCAAGGGCTCTAAATTGCTCCCTTCCGCAGCTGCCTCATCCTCCTCCTCCTTAGGGGGACACTAGGGGCTTTCTACAACACAGATCCGACCCCACATGCTCCCACTGCGCCATCACTGCCTGGCCCCAAACACTCCATCGGCCTCATCTCATGCTTCCTCATTGCTCCTCACACTGGCCTGCCTTAAGATCCTCACCTAGAACAATCCTTCTTACATTCCAGGGTCCTACCTTCTGCCCCAGAGACTCTCCTAATATCCCTGACCAAGTTGTCTAGCAGAGCCAGTGCTCTCACTGGGCCCTTTGTCCTGTTGTTGGCTCATTCCATGCTGTTCATGGTTGGTGTCTGTCTCTCCTCCCACCATCCTTCCGTGCTAGCCTGTTAGCTTTATGGGGATGAGGACCATGTTGGTTGATGGACCCTAAAGTAGAAGACATTTGAGATTTAGCAGGACACCCCTCTATTCACTCTGTTTTGCCCCTTTAGGAACTATATACTTCTCTCCATTGTTCTCAAAGCAGATGACTCATTGAACTGACCAATCACCCACTTGGGAGATGGGCATGTGACCTGGGCCTCAGCCAATTAGTTGAACCCATCCTGGTGTCATCAGTGACTGGCATTGGGTACATGATCTGACATGGGCTAAAGGGACTCAGGCCCAGATACTACTGGTTGCCATGATTGAGGGACTCACACTGTGGTGAGGCCATTACCCTGGTACCTGACATTATCATGAGGGAGTGGGGACCAACACATAAGAAGGAGGAACCAAGAAATGGAGAGGGTTCTCAGTGAGATTGGTCAAGCCCTGAATCTAACAGGTCCTGAAGGCTACTTTCCACAATTCAGTGAATTCCATTTACTGACTGAGGCATCTGAGTTGTGTTTTTGTTACTTGCAACCTGTAGATTCCAGACCAACATATCACCATTATGTAGCCCATTAGGCACACTGAAAGTATTCATTCGTTCATGCAGTCATTCCACAGTGAGAAGGCGACTAGGTTTGCTCAATAGGAAGAGTCATCTTGGCTGCAGTTAAGAGAGGTGACTAAAGAGATGGAAGTCGGCACAGGGAGTTCTCCCAGGAGGCCTTGCACAAGTCTCAGATAGAGGGTGAGCAAGACAGAAGGAATGGAAGGAAGAGGAAGATTCTAAATTCTACATTCACTGGAGAACCGTTGGCAGCCCCTGCCCATCTCTGGGCCTCAGTATCTCACTATGACTGAATCCATCATTCCAGAACCCCCAAGGTATCCCCCACTGGCTTTGGTCCCCAGCTATCAACACCCAGCATCATCACTGAGCAGTACGGCATCAGGGTTGGCTCTGTAGCCTGATTTGACAGGCAGGGAATAGTGACCTTCCTGTTTCTTTTTTCACCGTCTATAAAATGGGGATAATCACAATGGTATTGGGCAGTTACATATTATAGCACTGTTAGATGCCATCATTATCAATCATCATCATCATCATTGGTAATGTTATCATTATTATTTGTAGTTTCCAGAAACAATTTCATAGTAGGAATTTCATAAACAATTCTAAAAATTAATAATTTCTCAAACTGAGGGAAGACTTGGGTCTTCAGGCTAGAAGAACTTACCAAGTTAGTACCAGGAAAAATTACCAAAAGAAGACAAACAAAAGAAATAATCTGGTGAAATTTTGAAATTCCAAAGACTGGAAAAAGATATCATGCTTATTTCCATAAGAAATTTGAGAGAATCGAGTAAACAGTAGGCTTTGCACAGTACAAAGTCTAGGAAACCACAGAACATGTTTCTTAGGTTTCTTGGGCAGAAGGGCTATCAGCCTAGAGTTCTTTATTCAAGCAAACTATGACTCAAGCATGAGGGCAAATGCCGTCAGACTTACAAGGACTAAAAACATATACCATGGCTGGGTGCTATGGCACATGCCTGTAATCCCAGCATTCTGGGAGGCTGAAGCAGGAGGATTGCAAATTCAAGCCTAGCCTGAGTAACTTAGCAACTTAGTCAGACCATATCTCAAAAATTGTTTTTAAACTTTTAAAGGGCTGGGAATTTTGCTTAGTGCTAAGGTCCCTGGGTTTAAGCATAGAAGAAGAAAAGCATACAACTCCCAGACCTTTCTGAAAAAATTATTCAAGAAAACTCTCCAGGGCCAGGGATGTAGCTCAGCAGTGCTGTACCTGCCTGGCAAGAACAAGGTCCTGAGTTTGATCACCAGTACCAAAGAAAGAAAGAAAGAAAGAAAGAAAAGAAAATCCTCCAGACAAAAACAAAAGCCCAGAAGTCAAAGATGAAATATTGTGGTAGAGAGAGCAGCAAGCAATGAAGGCAGACATTTATAGGCTTAACAACTGATAATATAATAGAGAGTTAAAGGCAATTTTAAATAAATGATTCTTACAACACAATAGAACTAATGTTTACAAATGGTAACAATCAGAAACTGAAATTCCAGACAATCCCAACAGGGCCTAGGAGGTATAAAGGAATGCAAAAGAAATGCTCATTATGGGCTGTAGGAGGTAAGGTCACACTATTATAGATTTGATGTAATGCCTGCTACTTAAATGTGCATGTGAAAGGGCAGGTAAAAGCTCTAGCCAATTAGAATTAGGATATATAATTCAAGGAAATTTCACAGAAGAAAAATGAGGGTTAATCTTGTTATTTTCACTACATAATATGGAGCTATAGCAACTAACTCTTAACCTGGTATAAAAATAAGTTAATGAAGGGGACAAGAGTATTCAAAATCAACACCTATATATGGAAATTTGGAAGAATTGAAGGGATATAATCCTGTTCCCAAGTGTATTGATTTTAATACTCCTATTTTATGTGTATTTTTAAAATTTCAATAAAAATCTCAAAAGGAAATTTTGGGAGAGACAGGGAAGAGGTGGGGGCTAAATTACAAAATTATAATAAAATGTATACAGGGGCTGGGGATAGTTCAGTGATAGAGCATTTACCTATCAGGCATGAGGCCCCGAGTTTAACTCCAGCACTGAAAAAAATCACACACAGAGAATTTTGTTTGAAAGAAATAATATGTATGAATAGAAGAGAAAACAATTTTAAAAGAAGAGTAATAAAAGAGTGCTTGCCCTAAGATAACATACAAGCATTAGGGCAAATAATTGGGAAAAATGAAAAATATTCTCTCTCATACTATACCCCTAAGTAAATTCCACATAGTTTAAAATGTTTAAAGTTGAAAATAAAACCATAAATTTTAAAGGGAAAGAATATTATATAATCCTGGAGTGAATACCACAACACCAAAGGCAAAAACATTTATGTAAATCTACAGATACAATATTAATCATCCAAAAAAGGGGATTCAAAATCATAGGTGCTACTTCACACCCACTAAGATGCCTCTAATTTTTAAAAATGGAAAAATAATAATTATTAGCAAGGACATGCAGAGTTTGGAATCCTGATTCACTGATGGGGGAAAATAAAACTATATGGTCACACTGGGAAACAGTGCAGCAGTCTCTCAAAAGTTCAACACAGATATTATTTAACCTAGAAATTCCACGCCTAGGTATTTACCTGAGAGAAATGAAAAATATATGTTGCACACAAATATTGATGGCAGTATTATTCATAATAGCCAAAAGGTGGAAATGACCCAAGTGCTTACTAACTGATGAACAGTGAAACAGTATGAGGTACATCCACAAATGAAATATTCGGCCGTGAAAAGGAATTGATACATGTATAACACTGATGAACCTGAAAACATCCATGCTAAATACAAAAAGTCAGTCCCGGAAGACCAAATATATGATTCCATTTATATAAACTGTTCAATGTAGGTTAATCTACAGAGAAATGAGGTATTGTTATTGCTTAGGACTGGAAAAGATAGGGGAATTAGAAAGTGAGAGCTGAAGGGTATAATTTCTTCAAGATAATAAAATGTGCTAATATTAATTGTGGTATTCATTGTACAAGTCTGAATATATTAAAAGCCATATGCTTTAAATGGGTGAATTGTATGGTATTTGAATTATAGCTCAATAAAATTGTTACCAAAACAATTTATAGATACTGTTACCTATAAATCTGAATCACCTGTCATTCAAAGAAGTAATACAAATAAGAGGCTAGCACAAAATATCCTTACCATATAAAGTGCTTTTGTGAATGGATAATTAAATAGTCTCATAAGAAAATAGGCAAAAACTTGAGCAGGCTCCTCTCAAAGAGGCGAAAAAAATGACTGAAAGGCAAATAAACAAATGTTCCACATCTCTGGTAATCAAAGAAAGAAACCTATTAAAAAAGTGACAAAGGTGCAAGATCCCAGTAATGAATGTAACTGTACTGTATACCTCGAATGTACCAATAAACTCAATACAAAGAAAAAAAAGTGACAACAGGGCCAGGGATTTAGCTCAGTTGTGCTGCCGCCTGCCTCACAAGCACAAGATTCCGAGTTCGATTCC